TGCTATGTGAAAGCAGAGTGAGAAAGCAGCCAGCTATGAGCCAAAAAGTCTAAGGAGCCAGATCTGCCAGAACCTGAAATTAGATTTGCTTTTGATTAGAGGCTTGTGGAAACATGAGTGACAGGTGACATCACTGAGAAGTTGACGTGAGAGGGGAGAGCTTGTGGAGCCTGGAAAGGGGCCAGGCAGTCAGCAGAGAGAAGAAGCTGAGAGTGGAGGAGCCGAGGCTGATAATAGAACAAGAAAAGGAGAGGAAAGTCAAATTTCTCCTCTTTTTCTGGAGCCAGGACACCTTTCTGCCTCAGGACATCAGAACTCCAGGTTCTCTATTCTTTGGGCTCTGAGCACCATGGGTTCTCAGGCCTTTAGCCCCAGACTGAGAGAAACATGATCTGTTTCCTTGGTTCTGAGGCCTTCAGATCTGGACTGAACCATGCTTCTGGCTTCCTAGGTGCCCCAGCTTGTAGGTGGCCTATTGAGGACTTCTCAGGCTCCATAACTGTATAAACCCAATTTCCCCTAATAAATGCTCTCTCACACAGCATGATAAAAAATATGGTATAAATGGAATAGTACTCAACCATAAAGAACAAGAAACTAGAGACATTTATAGCTAAGTGGGTGCACATTGAGACCATACTCTTAAGTAAAATTAATAGGACACACATGTGTAAATACCGAATAGTTTTTCTGGTGTGAAAAACTAAAAGTGTAAATAAGGATCAAAATGTATAATTGATATTGTGTAATAGGAAGAAATGGTCTAAAGGAGTAGGGGAAGTGGGAGGGTTAGGGGAAGGGAAAGAAGGGAAAAATATGAGAAAAGGAAAAAAATGGAAACAAAGTCTTTATAAATAGGGAAGGGTGGAGGGGAATTGGGGAAAAAATAAGAACCAAGATATATCATATAAAGGTACAAGATCCCAATGATGAATGTAACTGTATTGTATACCTAAAATGTACCAATAAATTTAATGGGAAAAATAAAATAAAAATTAAAAGATATGGTGAATGTTTAAATAAAATTTATTACTGTAAAAGACACATCCCCATTAATCCTTCTCAAAATGCTCTTCCTCATTTTGAACACACTTATCCCATAATTCTTGCCACAATTCATGTCCCCCACCCATCCATATCAGGGATTGAACTCAGGACCTTGCACTTTTTGAGGTAGGCACGGTGCCACTGAACTAAATCCCCAGCCCTCTGTCTTTTTAAGGTGTGATGAAAAATACAGTGAAAAATATACAGTAGCTGCTACCGCCAAGTGCCATCCAATGGAAAGGCAGTCTTGTAAAAATATTACCATGTGTCCTCATCCACATTATTCCTGGGATATGGTACAACCTGACCCTTAGCTCCAAAGTCAAAATGACCATAAAAAGGTAAATGTTTTGATTGATTCAGGACATGGAGGCAGCCACGATAGTGCAACTGAAGATACTCAGGAAAGAAGACTTCCAGAGCTGCTTCTGGAAATGGTACGAACGATGAGATATTTATTTGAATTGAGGGGGAGTATGAGTGGGATTAATAACAATGTGTCTTTTACTGTATAATTTTCAAAAAAATTAAACCTTTACCACATTTTTTATCATACTTTGTAGAGTTTTCCATATCTGTGGGTTCCACATCTGCAGATCCAACTAACCAAATGCTTTAGGACACTGGGGTGGATAAAGATTTTTTTGGATAGGACCCTAAAACCATAGGGGACAAAAGCAAAAGAAACAACAGAATGAAGAGAGAAACCACATAATGGTAAAGTATTTGCAAAATATGCATCCAACAAGGGGTTGGTATCCAGAATACATGAGGAACTAAAGAAAAACTTAACAGCAAAAAACAAAACAGAATAGTCTGATGAATGAACAGGCAATAGACCGAATAGACATTTCTTAACAGAAAATATACAAATAACCATAGGTATATGAAAAAAAAATTTCAACATCACCAGGGAAATGCAAATCACAACCACAATGAGATATCCCCCCATAGGGGAAAAGAGTACAGGGGCTCTTCAAAATGCATAACTGCCATATAATCCAGTAATCCTACTACTGGGTATTTATCCAGAGGTAATGAGATCAGTACATCCAAGAAACATCTATATTCCCATGTTCATTGCTACCTGCAATAGCTAAGAAATGGCAACCATCTGTGTCTACCAACTGATGAGTGGATAAAGAAATATAGTCATAAAAAAGAAAAGAATGAAATCCTGTCATTTGGAGCAACACGGATGGATTTGAGGTATTATGTTAGATGAAATAAGCCAGGCACAGAAAGACAAGTACTACAAGATCTCACTCATATGTGGAAACTAATAAGTCAATCTGATAGGAGAACAGTATAGTCATTACTCAAGACTGGAGAGAGGAGGAAGAAGGAGAGGGGTACATGAGAAGGAATTTAATAAGGGGGATCAAAACATCAAATAGTGAAATTACCTCTAGCTCTTTTTATTTTATTTTATTTTTTGGTACCCCCCGGTATCAAACTCGGGTCCTTGCGCTTGCGCAGCAGGTGGCGAAACCACTGAGCTAAATCCCCGGCCCCCCTCTAGCTCTTCTTTAGCACAGTAGGTTAACTATAGTTAAAACAATCTATGATATGTGTCAACATGAGTAGAGGAGTGCGAATTTCCCAGCACATAAAAATGACTAATGGCCACAGAGATGGAAGTGCTTCTTACTCTAATTATTATACAATGTATACACGTATTAAATTACCACAACGTACCCCATAAAGATGCCCAAATATTATGTCTCAATCAAAAACTTCTTTACAAAAAGGTGTGTAACTATATCTCTTAATTACCTCAAAAAGAGGTAACTATATCTCTTAATTAAAATGAGTATCCAAGAGGGCCAGGGATTTAGCTCAGTGGTTCTGGTGCCTGCCTTGCAAGTGCAAGGTCCTGAGTTCGACAACTGGTATGAAAAAAAAATGAGTGTCTAATATTAAGGATTTACATGCACAACAATGCAACTATACAAAATTTTAGAAGAAAGAATTGGTGCCCTAAAAAACACAAACCTAAGTGGCAAGACCAAAGAATGATAGAAACCTGGAAGCAATCATTGAAAAATCTGGTACAACAGATTTTTACAATCATTTATTAATTTTTGTGGTGCCTGGGATTAAACCCAGTGCTTCATTCATGCTGGGCAAGTGCTCTACCCTGAGGCCTACAACAGTTATTTTTAAAAAAATGACCCCATAAGCTGGGCATGGTGGCACATACTTGTAATCCCAACACTCTCAGAAGCTGAGGCAGGAGGATCTCAAGTTCAAGTCCAGCCTGGGCAATTAAGCCAGATTCTGTCTCAAAACCAAACCAACCAACCCCCTTAAACAGAACAAACAAACAAACAAACAAACACACAAACATAGAGCTGAGGATGTAGCTCAATGCAAAGGGCTTGTGTTCAATCCTCTGTAACACACTTACAAGACCCCACATATCTAAATGCTTAGAAATCACAGTGAATGCACTGATAGAGTTCTGTGCTAAGGAGATGATTACAGATATGTCTAGGTTTAAATCCAAGGATGGTCACAGCAGCTGCACTTAGTTACACTGGCCTCAGCAGGGAGGGTAAGGTCACCTGGATGGTTAATAGGTGAGAGGCATGATGGGGTAGGAAGCAGGGAGAGCTGACCCCCACTCCCATCCCACAACAGCTAGGAGCATCTCTGAGCCCAGCAGGTGCAGCTCAAGGTCCGCTTAAGGGGGTGGGCGTGGAGCTGGAGCCACCACAGGGATAAAACTAAAGATGAAGAGAGTTCAGGGCCCGGCATCCGTCTTGCTAAATGTGCAGTGCACCTTGCTGAGTGGCCAGGCTTGTCTTTCCATTTCACCACTCCCTTTTGTGACTGTTTCCTGATACAGGGCTGAGTTTTCCCGGAGCAATCTTGCTGTTGCAAAGAAGCTTTTGAGCCTCTAACTCTGGGACTGTGCGATCAGTGAAGACCTGAGCAGCTGCCTGGCTCTCAGATCAGACTAATTCCTGAGGAGGTGAGCTATGGGGACAAGGCCCAAGAACTGTAGAGAAGTCAGGTCTCAGTGGCTCAGGTATGAGTGTGGAGTACTATTAGGGGTCAGGGATTCTGTGCTGTGTGAAAGCACGGCAGGTGGGAACTCAGTTTTCATCTGACTCATAGGGCAAGTACAGTAGTAACCCAGACTGTCTGGCAAGTCTGTATGGGGGAAAAACAACAGTCAACAGTTTTCTCACATTTCTGGGACAACTTTACCACAACTCTGTCCTTTACCACAGGGATGCGCTTGTGTCAACTCAGGGCCAGTCAATGCTGTTGGTGTGATTGGAAAAGGTGTATCATTAGTAACCCGTTTCCTTAGTTGAAACAATAGTTGAAAGACTTACCAGGCAACCCGTGTTCCTCAAGGATTTTCCCTCTGCAGGCCATCGCCTTCAGGACCGCAATGTCTGGCAGGGCCAGGACACGAGCCCGAGGCCAAGCACACCGTCGGAACACTGCTCAAGCTGAGGCACCTGGAGTGATGGCAGTGAGCGCTCTAATAGTCACTGTTTGCTTTATACAAAAATTTCCCGAGAATAAAAATGCCTAAGAATACCTCATTCTTCTTAAATATTCCTACCGGTTCCCATCTATGGCCTGTGTAACTTTGCTAATTCACCCATTTCCTTCAGGTCTCGATTCCATGTCAATTCCTCCCTACACTTCCCCATTTCCCCTATTAATTGGTGCAACCTGGTCCCTTCACGATTCACTTTCCCAATCACTCCTGGTTCTCTTTGTTCTTTTTTCATTTCCCTTGCAATTACCACACAAGGTGAAATGTCGTTTTTTAAAAAGATTAACACATTTTACTTTTTCTTAGTACATGTTTGGGATACATAATGAATACATTCATTGTGGAGAGTCGGTACATCTACACAGCACATCTTAATCCTTTTTACTTCTCATTTGCAAAATGTCTATCTCCTTGTTTCCTATTACCGTTTATTTTGCTCTAAGTTATTGATACTTTGGGTTTCTCTAAACACAAGGAAGTACTACTCAGCCATAAAGGATTAAGTTGGGTCACTTGTAGGAAAATATGTATCTTGAGACCATAATGCTAAGGGAAATAAATCAGACACAGAAGTTTAAATACTGCAATGTTATTTCTAAAAGTTGACTTTTTGTCACCGAACATGAGCATTTCCCAGGAAGATCCTTTGCTTTATTGGCTGATGGGCCTGGATGCTGAAAGAACATACAAGGGACACTATTCTTTATCTCTGTAAACACGCAGGCCCAGATGGCTGCTCCACTGCAGCCTAGACGCCAGGCGCCACTAGAGGAAGGCCACGTGGCTGCACCTGAGCAACCGAGAGAAAAACAGGGCGTCCAGTCTCCAGGTGAGAGGAGGGAAGTAGGATGTGATGAGAGGCAGGGAAGGGACGGCATAGCATAGAAAGTTCTAGGGACAGAGCCTCACTGTTCCCATGACGGTGGCGGGGTGGGAAGCATACTCCACGTGCAACTATTTCCCTTCCTGTTGTGTGACTGTCCATGTTTTATCTGCATACATCTGAAAGGCTTATGACAAGGCCACACTACAGCAAACTCGGCAGGCGGCTGCTTCATCTTCCAGCCCACTGGTGACCTCCAGCTGCTGGTGCTGGACGGGCGGTGTCAGCAGGTCCATGACCCCCGCGGCAGCTCCGTCCTCTTCGGCGGTCAGGGCCTCAAGCCCGGCAGTGGTGCCCGTTTCGCAGGGGTCTTTTGCAGGGGGCGCTTCCGCACGCTGCTCGCGTTCCTCGAGCTGTACTAGCAGCTGCGCGTGAACTTCCCGTTTTTCCACGTCAAGGTCTTGGTGATGCTCTACGTTCTCTTACAGGTACACATTTAGGGCGGGACCAAGCAGTTCCAGAAGAAAACACAGCAGCGCACGAGGAGCCCCGAAATCTCGCGGGAGTACCGGGGCGCCCTCTGCGCCTGCGCTGTAGCCCTCCTCACCAGACAGTGGCAGAAAACTGCTGGGAGTGTTGTGGGGGGGAGGGCTAGCGGTCGCGCGCGCTGGCGCGCCTCTGGCTACGTACCTTCAGTGAAGCGCCACGGAACTGTTTTTAAGAAACTTTTCCTGAAAACAAATTCCAACGAATTTCAGGATGTGACAAAGGGCGCAGAATGCATTATGAAAAAGGAAGGCTAAATTTTTAAGGGACAAAAAAACCTCTTTAAATGTACAACAAACTTAGGGTAAATTAAAATTAAGAAATCAGTAAATTTAGCTGGGGCTGGTGGCAAAAGTTTGTGATACCAGCCCGCTGTAGGCTGAGGCAGTTGGATCACAAATTTGAGCCCAGCCTGGACAATTTGGCGAATTGGCAATATCCTGTGTCGGTTTTATTTCTTAATAAATAGAAAGGGTGAAGGATGTAGTTAAGTGCGAAGGCCCTTCAGTCCCCAGGACTATGTAAAACGACTTGGAAAGATTCAGAAATAAGCAAAATATTGCATAAGAAGCTTGCATTGCATTGTAAGCAAAACATTGCATAAGAAGCTGACTGCAGTCTTTCTTTTTTGGTAATACTGGAAATTGAACCCAAGGCTTTTGTACTGAGCTACATTTCCTGTCTTGTCATTTTTGAGAGAGGATCTAAGTTTCCAAATTGTTCAGATTGGGCTTGAACTTTCCATGCTCCAACCTCAGTCTCCAAGAGTCCTAGCATTACAAGTGTGTGCCATCATGCTGGCTGGCATGTATATCTTAATTCCAGAAGAGAAAACACTTAAACTTTAATGCTGCAGGACTTTGAACCAATGGTGGGAGTGCGAGAGAACAGACTCTATTTCAGGGTCCCTGTGAGCAACACTTGGATTAAGACCTTAGAGGAAAAAAATTTAGTCATAACGTAACACTTGGCTATTCAGTGAGTAATGTTTAAATAATCATAAAATGCAAATGTTGTGGATGGTTTTCATCCCTTAAAATAATTATGGTTACAAAATAGACTGTAAATGTTATTAGCCTTGATGTAAAACTATGTTGATAAGTGGGAATGTTGGAGGAGGGAGGAGAAGGTAGATGGTTGTAGTGTCCTTAAAAAGTGGGAAGTCGAGCCAGGTGTGATGGTACATGCCTGAAATATCAGCACTCAGGAGGCTGAGGATAGGAGGATTGCTGGAAGTTCGAGGCCAGCCTGGGTGACAGTGAAACCCTGACTCCAAAACAACAACAGTCACCAAAACCAAACCCAAACCAGAAAACAATAATGGTCTGTAGGGGAGGAAGTTAAGAAATCAGTTGTAGAGGGGAAAGAAGATACTTTACTACTTATGGGATAGCCTTAAAGTTTCTAAAATAGTAAAAAATCTGTTTTAAGGGGAGAAGTTAGTAGGGGGAGAAAGGTTTCTAAAATAGTAAAAGACTTTTAAAGAGAGAAGTACTAGGGGGGAAAAATGTGACGTCAACAGGAAATATCTGACTTCAAGAATTATTAAGATTCGCCGGTATAGGCCTGGGGATTTAGCTCAGTAGTCTCGCTGCCTGCTGTGCAAGTGCAAGGACCTGAGTTCGATCTCCAGTACCAAAAAAAAAAAAAAAAAAAGAGTACCTGGTATATCTGAATATAGGTTAGAGATTTTTTTAATTTTTCAGAGTCTAGAAATAGTAATCTGCAGGCTTTTCAAAATTAAGAAAACAAAACAGGTAGTAAACACCAGGAAAAATAACAATTTCAAAAGTGACATGGTGTATCTCAACTGATACAAGTTATGTAAATGCTATTCATAATTATGTGAATATTGGCTACTGATTTAAGAAGAAATGATTATATAACATTGAGAAGATGGGAGAAAGAGATGTGTGTATATGTATAAAGGTAGAAAGCTGCTCAAGATCTGCTGTAGAGGGCTGGGGATGTCACTCGGTAGAGTGCTTGCCTGGCATGCACCAGGCCCTAGGTTTAATCCCCAGCCTAATATAGAAAAAAATCAAATATAGAAAAGTCCAGAAAAAAGCAGTATAAACATTTTTTGAGGAAAAAAACTATAATGCAGAGCTAAGGGTTAAAAGTGATTGTCTCTGGAGATGAGGAATCAGAGGTAGGTAAAGGCAAAACGTTGTTGTTTTCACTAACATCAACAGTATTATTTGTTTTCTTTTTCATTGTATGGTTTTCTTTGTTTTAACAACTAATTTAAGTAAATTTTATTTTTAAAAGTTCTCCAGGTCAATTCAAATATATACTACTGGCTAAAAGCCACTAGAGTAAAATGGCTTGAGTTTTTTAAAAAATGGGCAGGTTTCTAATTAGAATGTATACTCTAGTTTTGTGGTCTTAGGCGAGTCCATTAATCTTTCTAAAGCTGTTGTTCAACAGTTACTCACCTTGAAAATTAGCTTAAGAATTAGAGATAAGCCTGCCTTAGTTCTTGATATGTACACAATAAACAGTATGTCTTTTTTATAATGGAACAAAGTTTATGAAAAAGAAATGGCAATCATGATTCGTTAGCCAATTCAATATCAAATTTAGATAATATATTTGTATATAATAACCCTAAATTAACTAGGAATCCTAGGGGTGTTATTTTCTTGGCTTCTTCAATTGCGTTTAAGAGGTTCAACAGCTGCTTGACCACCTCAGTGCTTTCCTATCTTGCAGCATTCTCACAGGTGACCGGGTCCTTATTATACAAGGTGAGTACCCTGGATCAGCTGTTGTGATTTGCCAAGGACTTGAGTAATGTAGTAAAAGTTCTGTTCTCACCTTTTTAAAAAATATCAAAATAACTTGTGAAAGAACAAAACTTTAAATGTTAAAGAAAAATGTGGGCAAATATTTTAATAATAAACTGATACAAAATTCAGAACCCATGAAATGAAATTATAAAATTGAACACATAAACTTAAAACCCACTTTTATTACTTCTCTTCAGGGTTGTGATTAAATATTGTAAGAAAGTATATAATGTGTAGCAAATGCCAATAAGTGATGCCTGTTTTCTTTCACTGAAATTTTAATATGACTAAGTTTGATTGCAGGAGGTGTCAGGAACTAGCTGAGAATTTGATAAAATTATTCTAAATGTAGTTTTTGTTTTTTGGGGTTTTTTGGTATGGGGATTGAACTCAGGACCTTGTGCTTGCAAGCAGGCTTGGTGCCGCTGAGCTAAAGCCCTGGTCCTAGTTTTTCTGTTGTAGAAATTCAAACTTCAGTATGGTGTAAAATCACCATACAGTAGGAATAATAGCTTTCGGAGATAACATTTTAAGGAAAAGCATGTTTGTAATCCAAACCACAGATTCTCTTAGCCATTCAAGGATAGGAATTTATAGATGTATGTTCTTTCTTTAACAGTGTACCATCTCTCTCTGAAACACTGTACTCTCATTCAAATCTTCCCTCTTTAGAATAAATATTTAAACCTATGTAAGTGTTAAATAGCATGCTATAAATTAGGTTGAGTTTGTTTTTTCCCAGTTGCTCTCAATATAATGGGTAGATCAGTCCTTCTGCATCAAAGGCAAATTTCATTGGTTCTTTGACATTTGTTAATCATTTGATGTTTTCTGATGCACAGGAGAGCGCAGGGTGGGCTTATGAGGGTGGACAGCCAGAACCACGGTTTTTTAGAATCTTGTTCTGTGAACAAATCCCTGGTGAAACAGGACAAATACCGTAGCAGGAATGGATAAAGTCCCAAAGCAACCACTGATGTAGCCTTCAGACTCCTTGGGAAAGATTCCTTGGTAACATGCCCTTTGCTGGTGACCCATCACTGAAATGTTTGGATCCTTTGGTGTCATCTTTTCTCTTTCAAATGACTTGGGTCGTTTTTTCCTTAATAGTCAGTAGTTCATATTGTTCATCCTACTTTTCTCTTTTTACTGCATAACTTTGTGGCTTGTATATTTATTCTATGTAGAACAGCTTCCACTCACAGCTGGATTGCAGGCATTATCTGTGAGGTCGAGGAGGCCTGCTGGAATTTTTCAGGACCTTGTGGTGAATACGAGGGAGAGCTTGGAACATGTTAAGCACTCAAAAACAGGTATGTTCATCTGCATCAAATTTTGTGAAGCTGTTCACTTTAAACTTTTGATCTAAAAATAGCAAGAGATTCTGTAAAGCTTCATATCATCCTTGTATGCCGAGGTACTTCATTCTCCACATGTTTTTGTAATAGTATTCCCTTCTGTAGAAATGGCAATTTGTTACAGAGTTCTGGATAAACTACACACTTTGCCTTTTACATCCTCTAAAATAGAATGACCCAGTTCTTTGGTTGCTCTGGGATTTTTTTTTTTTTTAAATAAATGTTGTTACACATAGTGGCTTTTTTTTTTTTTCAGAAGTTGCATAGGCTTGGGTTTTGAGCTACTCTTACAGTTAAAAACATTTTTATCTTATATTTAAACCCTCTAAATATGTGCTTACATCTGAGTTCACCTAAATTGATAGGCGTTTTGGCTGTCTGGTGTGTGCATATGTTAATTCATCATTTATCTCCATGTTTGACCTATCATTTTGGTTCTCAATATTGTAGTGTCCAAACTGTTTTGGCTGTCATCAGTCACTTTGTTATTGACCTGTGCTTCAATTTCTCAGGTTCTGAAGGTAAAGTGATAGAACTGTTAGCAAACCATTTCCAAGTTACATATCCTCCATGGATTGCATATAAGTACAACATTGACTACAAACCAGACATAAAAGATATAGATCTCCGTGAAAACTTACTTTTTCAACATGAATCAACATTCGGAAGACGTCATATATTTGATGGAAACTCTTTATTATTACCTAGAAGGCTACAAAGTTCTGTTAAGTAATGTTATTTGACGTTTTCTTTGCTCAAATTTCATGCATGCACTTTGTGAGGAAGACTGCTCCCCGAGTAGTGATGGGTTGGACAGCCAAGTGCATGGTGACTTATCATTGAGTAGAATTTAAATTTTCTTGGAAGAACATCTGGACCTTTTTTTCTTTTAATCTTAGAATGTGGAACTTGTCAGCTGGACCCGAGATGGTGGCATTGTGAAGATTACAGTCCACTTTTCAAAGGAACTCAGGCCTACACACCCAGACTGCCTGCGTTATTACAATATCCTCTTTAGAAGGTGTGTTAGTAAACTCTAGTTCCCTTGAGATTCCACTGTATTTCACCATGTTTATGTGCTTAACAGTTTCTTTGTGTTAAGAGAGTGAAGGGCTCTTGAGATGAAATGAGACTTGTGTGAAGTGCTCATGCAGTGAGCTTGTCCCCAGCATTCATCCACCCTGCCCACCTGTACTTCCTGAAGCTGGTACCTGTTGGGAAGGAGTAGCAGATGTCATCTATGTGCATCTGTGTTTATTTCTCTCTGAAGCACATAAACTTGTTTGCCCTTCTACTCTATGATGATCAAATATTCAAAATTAAAAACTGGGACATGTGATTTGCAAAAGCTATCTTAAATTAGTTCTGGGAATAGTCAAATAATATACATTCTGCTGATGTTTATATTGTTTTATATTATGAGAAAAAGACATACACTGAGGTAAAATTAAACTGTGTCTTACCATGTAACTTTGTGTTAATTGACAGTATAAAGAGTCATTGACAGACTGTTTTCTTAATGTGTTCTTATATGTCTTAACAAATGCTTTATAATATTCACTGTCCTTTTAACAAGTCCTAGTCTTTGAATTTCCAGAACTCTGAAGCTGATGAATTTTAAACAAATTGGTCGCAACTATTATGATGAAAACAGTAAAGAAAATTTCTGTGACAACAGGTTTGTACAATGTGGAAAGTACAACATTCTGCAGGCTTAATCATATAATTTTTTTGAGAAAGTTACTCATTTGAAGTAGCATGATGTACAAGTGGTGACTCTTTAAAGGATACCCTCCAGCCATAAACAATTATAGTTCAATTTATTGTAAATTTTAAAAGACAGAGTTTAAAAAAATCCTACCATGAGAAACTTAAACTTTAAAGTATTCATTTTTTTGTGTAAACATTAAATGTCCAATCCTTGCTTGAAAATATTTTAGTAGCAATTAAATATGGGTATCTATATTACTTGTTGGTCTATGTATTATATATAAAAGTTAGATATGAAAAAAAAGTTAGATATGTATAGATATGATACATTAAGCCAGTGGGTGATAGAGTTTAGCAAAGATGATATAGTACTTATAAGTAATCTTTATTTGAGGGTCCTTCAAAAGATCAGTTACTACTAAAAATAAGGAATTGAAATCAGTTGATTCTTTAAATACCTATTTTATTTTATTTTATTTATTTATTTTTTGGTACCAGAGATCGAACTCGGGACCTTGCGCTTGCGAGGCAGGCGCTGGAACCACTGAGCTAAATCCCCGGCCTTAAGTACCTATTTTAGATCCAGAGTTCAGGCCCTAAAACATTTGATTGTATGTTGAGATCTTGGACTTAATACTCTCATGTAATTTATTCTGTTGTAGGTTGGAAGCCTGGCGTGGTTATGTGACTTCTGTTCTTCCATATGAACACAGCCTTACCTTGTGTTCTGATATTTGCCATAAACTGCTCCGATTAGAAACTGCTTATGATATAATAATGCGGAGGTGTGAAAAATCCCTTCAAGATAAATATATCAGAGAAGAAGTGTCTAAAGAATTAGTTGGATTAATTGTTTTTACAAGGTAAGTCAGCTTTTAAAAAACTGCTAATCTCTTTGATTACTCCCTCCCTCCCCTCCAAAAAAGATATTCCTGGAATCGCTAAATATGGAAGTTTAAGACTAATAAGTAGTGTGAAATGGCAAGAATCATTTGATACTCTTCTCATCTGGTTAAACTAGTTGGGAGAGGAATCTGTGATTTGGGGCTGTTATCCTCACAATCTGGAATGTTTATTCCTTTATTCTGAATCATTGCTTGCATGCAACAGTCTGTTTCTTCTGAATTTATTTCCTTTCCCTCTCTTTATTGTTGGTGTCTAGCTATTTTAAAAATCAGTGCTTACTTTCAGTCCATTAGCAAACCATGTACCATTTACATTTGAAAGAAGTTTTTATCTTTAGTTTCTTTTCTACACCAGAAATCTTAACTTGCTTATTAATAATGAGTTACTTAACCAAAACAATCTTCAAAGAACAAAGTTGGCGAACTCACATTTTCTAACTTCAGATCTTATTACAAAACTGTAGTAATCAAGGCAGGGTGATATTGGCATAAAAATAGACATAAAGACCAATGTAGTAGTCGAGAGTGTACTTGGAGTCACTTGATACGTATTTTCTTATTAGTACATGTCTGCGATACATAGTGACTTTCATTGTAGGTATTTAGTTCATATGCAAGACACATCATCTTTTTTATGTACCCTTCTCCCCACTTCTCCTCTCCCCTCCCTCCCTCTCTTGGTCCCATTCCCCTTTGCAGAAGATTTATCTCATTTCTTTTTATCTCTCTTTCATTTTGCCCTTTAATTTTTTATACTTTGGATTTCTCGTATAAGAGATACCATACAGCATTTAAGCTTGTGTGTCTGATTTATTTCACTTAACACTATGATGTCAAGGTGCATCCATTTTCCTACAAATGACTCAAATTTATCCCTCTTTGTAGCAGAGTAGTATTCCATGGTGTATAAACACTACATTAAAAAAATCCATTTGACTGTTGATGGACATATAGGCAGCTTCCAGAATTTAGCTATTACCAGTTGTGCTTCTGTAAACCTGGATATGCATGTTTTCTTTGCTGTGCGGAAGCCAGTCCCCCAATTTGTGTCTTTTCACTGGAGAGTTGAGGCCAATTACTTTGAGAGTTATAAGTGAAAGCGATTTACTTACTCCTGTCATTGTGTTCATTTTCTGTTGTTGACTCCTTTATTTTTCCTTCTTTAACCACTCACCTTCCTTGATGTATTCATTCCATCTGACTTTTTGGCTTTGTTGGCTTCATTGTCTGTCTAGGATATTCTTGAATATTTTTGGAGTGCTGGTTTGGTGTCCATGTGCTCTTAAGGGGTTCTTTGTTGTGGAATGTCCCTATTTCTCCATTAATTTTGAAAGGCAGTTTTGTAGGGTTTGTTAATCCATATTAACATATTGGAAGTTGTTTACTTTTAGGGTTTGAAATACTTCACTCCAAGCTCTCCTGGCCTTTAAAGTTTATACTGATAAGTCTGCTGTAACCCTCATGGGCTTACCTTTATATATGACTTTTTTTGCTTTTCTCTGACAGTTTTTAACACGTTCACAGTGGGGCCATAATTTGTATGTCTCGCTGCTGGCTGACTCCTACTGGCTTGAACTACCAGTGATTCACTCATTGGGTGGCATGGAACAGTCCCATTCAGTGGTACAAGCCACTCAGTAGGACAGCATACCTGTACCACTGGTGTTTAAGCTGGTTGGGAATATGTTAAGATTGGACATCTGGAATTTTTTTTTTCTCCATTAACTTTATTGGTACACTTTAGGTGTACAATACAGTTACATTCATCATTGGGATCTTGTACCATTATTACATGAGTCTCTTGGTTCTTATTTTTTTTCCTCTTCCCTTGCCCTCCCTTCACCCCCTCCACCCTTCCCTATTTGCAAAGACCTTGTTTCCATTT